TGCAAGAATTCATGCTAGAAAGAACATCATATTTTTTTTAAAAAAAAAATGACCTTATTTGTGCCAACAGCTTAAATATTTGAAAGAAAATTGCTGCATATAAAATTAGGGTGAAAAAATCTCATGGCCGTCACTGAACAGCAATGAAAAGACAGTAAACATGATTTCTGATTATGGTCAACACTGGCTTCATATTTCTATCATGATTCCTATAGTGAAATTAATCTGAAAAGCAAGAAGAGCACAAGACAAGAAAAAAGTCACACTGTGATTTTCATTTATCCAGCACCTCACAGTGTATTTTTCACAGAAGTCTTAATGCAGGAATCATGAGAGAAATGTGGAATAAAAGAAATTGAAGACAGCTTTCATTGCCAAGATCTATAGTCTAGCTTTAGAGTATAATTTCTGAACATAGATTCAAAAGAATATAATAAATAAGACAGACTTCTGGCTATGCCACTGAGTTAGCCATTATAGTTAAAAGGTGTCAGTGTTCCTTATCTATATACAAGGATGTGCAACCTGTGTCTTCAGGGCTTCGTGAGACCCCAAAGACTTGGATATGTTCCTATAAGACCACCAAAAATAACAATCAAACTGTAAATTTTAATGTGATGAGAAAGAATGTACTTAGTGAGAAATAATCTTAATTTCATGTCATGGCTTTAACTTAATAGTAAGTGTAATTTAAATTTAGTTTTTGTCTTAGCCTCATCCTGTTCTTTATTTTTGCTGTCCTAGTTTGCTAAAATGGCCCAGTGAATCCTCAGCCTGAAAGCAGCTGCTTTATTATTTATTTTATAATAAAGTATTATTTATTTTATAATAAAGTATCATTTAATTACATAATTAAATAATAGTGATAAGCCCAGTTAATACAAATTATCTTCCAAATAAATATATGCTCAACATTGAATGCCAACATTTGGGCTTATATATTTGTTCAATAGCATTTGCTCTTTATTACAAACTCTGCCCACAGCCTGGACTTCGATCCTGACAGGGCTGAAGGTTTCCATCCTTCTGAGGTCAGTAAAATGAGGATCCAGATTGTTGGGGACCATATACTGTCTCTGTAGACTGCTTAGAGCAGTTATGTCAAACTCAAGGCCCAGGGGCCGGATGTGGCCCACAGGGTGCTTAGATCTGGCCTGTGGGGCCACCCTGGAAACAGCGAAGGACTGGCCCATGGTACCTCTGGCAGAGGGTTGCAGGAGGCTCGGGTGCCCATTTTCACTGGCAGAAGGTTGCAGGAGGCCGTTGGAGCCAAAAACGGAGCTTGGGAGCCCATTTTCACTGGAAGAGTGCTTGGGCCACCACAGGCGTCCCCAACACAACTGATGTCAAGCTGGCCACACCACCTGGCCATGCCCCCCACCCGCCCAAGATCAAACATAACCCTGTTGAGACCCTTAATGAAATCGAGTTTGACACCCCTGGCTTAAATAGTGCTTTAAAGTGTGTGTGTGTGTGTCGGGGTGGGTTCCATTTACCTTTACTACTGGTTCGCAGCAGGAGCGCGCACAGCAGGAGCACATGCGCAGATCACCCATGATGACGTCATGGTGGGTGGGTGTAGCCTCCTGCCAGTTTTACTACCAGTTCTATAGAACTGGACTGGACCGGCTGCAACCCACTACTGGTGTGGGGGTGTGGGTGTACTATTGCCATTGCTTCTCAAAATAATTGCCCTTTGATTACTTTAGAATCATCTTAAAATCATGAAAAATAAAACAAATTCCATTTTTCAGGTTTTCCAAGATAATTCAAAACAGAATGAGGGGGAGAGAGACAAACCTTTGTGAGGACAAGTGGGAATGAGAGCCAGGCAGGGAAAAGTGGGATCTAAACCTAAGCAATAAGCACTATGTTCTTTTGCCTTTATAATTAAAGCAACAGCCATAATATTTTCAAAATCTTCATCAATATCCTACATCCAGTGTTAAAAATTAAGCATTTTAGTTTTTGGTTCATATGCAGAAATTGGAACAAAGCACATTTACTTCTCCTAGTGTGGTTTAATGCAGGGAGAAGAAACACAGCTTCTTTTCTAACCAATATTTTTAATTAAAAAGAGTAACCGGGAGCTGGCACACTGCAGAACAGAATCAAGTCTCCAATATATAATTATTTCTTTGAAGGTCTCTGGATCCTACCTTTAGGCTTTTTTTAAAAAAAAAATAACAACGGGACTAGTAACTTTGTACATCAGCCCACCTTTTCAGGAACAAAGACAGTTATAGGCAACGTTATTTTTACTGTGAGATGGGCAGTGTATAAATTTGATAAATAAATAAACAAGCTAGAATTTAGGAAGCGTTCTTAGAGTTTGGATGTAAGAACAGCAGTTTGCCTTTGGGTAAACAGGTGTTTTATGATTAGCTATACCTATCACTTCAACTATTGTGGGAATGAACAAACACCTTTCTCAATCCCATGGCAAATTTTTTATGGAAACACTGGTGGCATAGATTCAGAATCCCCATGTGCTCCTCCCTCACAAGATTACCATATTTTTCAGACTATAAAACACACTGGACTATAAGACGCACCTAAATTTACAGGAGGAAAACAAGAAAAAATAGTTTTTGGCCTCCATGCATCACATTTTGTTCTCCCAAGCTTCCAGAAGCACTCTGCATGCCAAAAATGGGTGCGTTTTTGGTGAAAATGGGCCCATTTTTGCCAAAAATGGGCCATGTGGAGCACTGCAGAGTGCTTCTGGGAGCTGGGGAGGGTGAAAACATGACATACAGAGGGTTTGGGAGGCCAAAAGCACCGGTATTCAGTCTATAAGACACACCTAAATTTTCACCGACATTGGGGAGGGGGGAGGAGATGCGTCTTATACTCCGAAAAATACAGTATGTCTTTCCCCTTGCTTAGCACAATATGTGAATTTGCTATTATGAACTGAATATGCACGATATTTACAAGGTAATATTTGACAGTAAAGTAATTTGAAAGGAGAGGCGCATTACAGCATTGGACAGTTACCCTCAACTTAGCTGTTTCTACTGCCCAGAAATAGATTTCCATTTGACACTTGGGCACGGAATCATTTGTTAATTAAAAGCTGGATCGTTTTGCTGTTTTAACTTTCAGAGAGAAAGTTTCAGTATAATTTGCCTGTGAAAGCCTTGAAAGAAGTCGGATTCAGTATGTGCCTATTGTGCATTGCAGAAAATTGTATCCCATAAATAGCATATTAATCATTTATGGCTATCAGCTATGGCTTCTGATTTTAAACAATACACATTTTGAATGCCAATGAAAAGGCAGAGAAAGAAGGCTGGCTCTTTCCATTCAAAGCTGAAGCCAGAACAAAATTCTCTCACCTCTTGGGAGCTAATTAGTGGAGAAAGACTTGCTTGGGGAAAAAAAAAAATCAGCCAACTCTTGGTGTTGGGTCTGTTTGCTATTTCAAATCTTAAGATAATAAATCAAAACAAAAGCTATTAGACAGCTCAGGAACCCCTTTGTTATATCACTGTCAAAACACTGATTTTGTGAAATTGAAAGGATTGCTAACCTATTAGTATTTTAGAAACACTTTGCCTAGCAAATGAATTTCAAGAGCATTTTTAAATTGCAAACAAAATAGCAAATCTGGGTATATTTAGCAAATATTTATCCAATATGCATGCAAAATGCATAGATATCCAGTAGTGATTTAGCCGAAATAGATTTTTCTTATCCATTTCTTTTTAGAGAATAGATATTGGTATCTACATTTTCTCCAAAACCTGGTGTAATAAAGCTAAAGATGCAGTTTTTAAATGATGTTTACACAATATAACCAAGCTCTGCTATCATGCAATTTTCAACCACATTTCTTGGAATTGCATAGAGCATCAATGAAAATGCGTAATTCATTAATCATTCCTAATTTGCACGATGGTTAAAGAATGAAGAACTTCAGATTGCTTTTTATCCACTTCAACCACTAGAGATGTTCTGAAGTTTAAATTCATTTTTCTGTACTTTATTTGCTTTCTTTGCTGTATTGTGGCAAACGTAAAGTCTCCTGCAAATTGGATTAACTCCTTGTGATTTAATAGACATATTTATGTAATTCAATTGGCCCCGACACTGCTGGACTTTGGAAAGTTTTGTGCCTGAATCTGGGGCCCCTCACTCATGATGGAGTCCATTTCCTAGCTAAGTTGAAGGGTTTTTGGTGCATGGTTAGAATGGGTGGTGGTGCATGGTTAGAATGCAGTATTGCAGGCTAACTCTGCCAAAAGCAGGACTGTCAAATTTGTAGCCTGCAGCCCGGATATGTCACATGCTGGCCACGCCCATGCCTGGTTTAGCAAAGGGGGAAAAATACATCATGTGACGCTGCCGTGATGCCGTGAGTTTGACACCCCTGGCCTAGAGCCAGGAATTTGATCCTGGCCAGTTCAAAATTGACTCGGCCTTCCATCCTTCCAAGGTAGGTAAAATGAGGACCCAGATTGTTGGGAGAAATATGCAAATAATGCTTTTACCTTGTAAACCACCTAGCGAGAGCTGTTAAATGCTATTGCTATTACTATTCTTCAGCAGCTATAGCTTTTATTCTCTATGATTGATTTTTAAGCTCAGTTTAATAATCGAATATATTTATTTATTTTAAAATTGTGCACAACAAAGAGTCATGTATGTGAGATGGGCAGCCATATAAGTTAAATATAAAATAAATCTTCTTGAACAAAAGCGGTTCATCATTGCCTTCTTCTGAGACGGTTTTCCAACCCTTCAGTCTAGCTCTCTACAGCTTTAGGATTTTCTGGTGATATCCAGACTATTCTAGAACCTTGCTTGACTTTTTAAGATCAACCAAATTGGCTACTTCCATCATGGATGTTATGCTAGCATAAATATTAACCATGACAAAATCTAACCAGCAATAACCCCAATGTTGTAAAAATAAAAAGAAGTCTACATTGTTTTGGTTCATCAGATTATCAAAATCAGTTTTGTTTACCTCAGCCTTTTCTGTTATCTTTCAGAAGTGCCATGGAACATCTACCTCGATATCTAGGCAACACGATTGAGGACACACAAACCTTGGTTTGTAATTATAGTTGTATTATAACTATAACCAGCCATAGCTGGTGGCTCCGGATTCCAGAAACTTGTGAGAGTTTAAGGAGATCTCTTTATTATACTTTCCTGAAAATGTCATGTTTTCATCACTAGGCCATAACTGAGTGTTAATACTGATATTTAAGAAATGTTCACCATTGTTAAAATAGATGAGGAACTGAAGATTGTGGAAGAAGAAAAAAGGACAATAGGATGGGGAGAAAATTCCTAAAACTTGCGCCTTTTTGTTTAGTGATATATATATTAACCTCAAAGCTAAATGTCAGGGTTCCAAGTAATGGACCCAGCAGATAGGTGCCATTTTTTTTGCCTTGCCATGCCTTCTTAATCATCCTGAATGTTCTACCTGAGATACACCAACAATATTATAGATATCCATGCAAATATATGAAACAAAACAAGAATTAGAAAAGGTAATCAGAATGATAAAATGAACTAATTGTATTTTCTATAGAAAAACTCATGCATTTCAAATAGATTGTTTTAATCTATTTGAAATGCATGAGTTTTTCTATAGAAAATACAATTAGTTCATTTTATCATTTTATTCATATCATTTTATCATATATATATAAAATCAGGACACTGTGAATTCTAGTCCTCCCTTAGGCTTGACAGTTGACTGAGATATACATACATACATACATGCATACATACCTCTGTGTGTGTGTGTGTGTATGTTTTTCTGTCGAAGCACCTGGTCTACCCCAATATGGGAGGGAGCATACTGCTTCCCTTTCACCTTTCAGATCCAATCCAGGAACCCTCAGGCAGTCGCTATCACGACAAACTATTTTATACCAAATTTATATTTGCTGATAAAGTCTCCCTTTATTTCTTTACCAGAAAATATAAATTTTATTTATATCTATCTATATCTATCTATATCTGTATCTGTATCTGTATCTGTATCTGTATCTGTATCTGTATCTGTATCTATATCTATCTATCTATCTATCTATCTATCTATCTATCTATCTATCTATATCATTTGTACTTTCTTCAGCTTACCAGTTCTAAAGGTGGGGTTAACTACCATGCTTTTAAATGTCTTTATGCCTTGCAAACGTTTTTTTTTTTTAACTAGAGTAAGACTGCTGTGTCACCAGGTTTGCTGCATACTAAATGAGATGGTGGAGAAAACTCATGTTGATGCTTAATATATGCAGAAGCTACAAGAAAACATTAGTATTTAATTAATCACAGCATAAATGTTATTGAATTTAATTGTAGGCAAGTAGTGGTAAATCAGTCTTGCAAAACCATAAGTGATGAAGCATATCCCATTCATAGAACATGTACAGTTTAGTATGATGCATAGCTATTGGTATAACTGGGTTCTCCATATTTCTTTAATCTATTGATACATTTCTAGCAGGTCAATTCTAAGCACACCAAATTTGTACATAGTATAGTACATATACATTTTTTTTCTACTGTTCAATTGTATCCAATTTTCAGAAATTGTCCCTGCAGTTTTCTTAGCAAGGTTTTCAGAAGTGCTTTGTTTTTGCCACCTTCTGAGGGCTGAGAGAACGTGACTGGCCCCAGGTTACCCAACCAGGTTTGTGCTTAAGGAGAGGCTAGAACTCATGGTCTCCCAGTTTTTAGCTGATTACATCAAACTGTCTCTCATATAATACACACATGTACTTATGCACAATATACATAATACATTGCATATAATAGAGGAATAGCTTCTTTTATATTATTCAAAGGACATTTCCTTTATGAGAATCATAATCTCTATTTTACTAGGCTAAAAATGAAGGAAGAAATAATCAAGACTTTCATTTCTCATATAACTCTGTTCTGCCACTCATATCCCTTTATTACATATCATTTATAATTAAGCAGCATATGGGAGAGCTACTGCATTGACGCCCTGTCTTTAATTTTATCATGGGCCCAGATTTCTATAAAAACCTTCTATTTGTTTTTATTACATTTTAAAAAGATAGAAAGAAAAACTTTTCTAAGCCATATTTAATAGTGTTCTGAGAGCAAGAAATGTATCTTGTAAAATGAGTTCATTCGAAAGCAGCCTAGTCTTTATTGTTGAAAAATAACTCAGTTGAACACAGGAAAGCAGCATTTATGGCCATAGCTAATATTTTCCATCTTTAATTTATGGCCCAACTTAACTTGAACTTCCATAGAACTTTGAATTTTGAGAGTACTTAATTATTGACTCATTCTCCCTCACTTGGTAGCTTTCTCTGTAAAACAGTGATCTGATTTAGACCAATAGTACTGATAGAGTAGGGTTGTTGTTTTTTTTGAAAAGTCTTTTCAGTTTTATTTTTTCCACACATAATATAAAATGTACATTTTCTTATACATAATTAATCATACATGTATGTATGTATGTATGTGTGTATATATATATATATATATATATATATATATATATATATATATATATTTCTTAAAGAAAGCATTATAATAAGACATTTTAATTACATTCGGGGTTGCTCTTCTACCCTTTCTTACCTCTTTTCACAACAAACCTTCTTCTTCTCCTCCTTTCTTTCCCTCCCCAGTCTCATCGCCTCTCCTACTTTCTTCTTCATCCTCTCCTACCTCATCCTACTTCCACTTCTTTCCCCCACTCCTTTCTTCTTTCCCCCTTCTCCCCTTCTCTTCTGTCCCCTGCCCTTCCTTCCTCTCCTTTTCCCTTTCTTCCTTTCCTCTCACTCCCTCTCCTCTTCCTACCCTCTACTCCCCTCTCCTTTCTATCTTCTTTGGTATATAATATTCTTCTTGTTTGGCATCCGAGCAACTCCTATATTCTACTCATATATACTTTCTTTCAATTTCTTTTCAGATTTATTCTATCTATCCATATTATCATCATAATTGTACATTATTCTTATACGATAGAGTAGGGTTAACCAGGCAAAAATTATCACAGGCAACTGGAAAGGAGAACAAATGGGGAAAAGGAAGACACACTGTTTAATATTAGTATTTACGTTAATTAGAAATGAAGGGATTATATGTGGGTAAACAGGCACACAATGAGGAATTGGCAGGCCCCAAACCAAGAAAGACACATAGTGATTCTTCCAAACTGAGTTCTTTATTTCTTCACACTTATAGTCAAAATCTTGGCATATTAAGTACTACTTGCATTTACAATATTGTGAACTGTTAGGGAGGAGCTGTCTTCACCCTCTTTCCCTCACACATAATAAATATCTAGACTGACTTGCCTCTTACTCCTCTGGAACATATCCCCTCGCTTCTGGGATCCACTTCCTTACTACATCACAGGAATGCACATGGCAAGGAACATGTTAATGCCATCAGGTGTACTACTTCCCTTTACTACCGGTTCGCAACGGGGCTGCACGTGCTCTTCTGCACATGCACAGAAGCATTTTCATGATGTCAGGGTGGATGAGCGGAGCCTCTCTCCGGTTTTACTACCAGTTCTATAGAACCAGTCCAAACTGGGGGCAACCCACCGCTGCCTGCGACTGATTAGAATCTTGTCAATTGCCAGCAGAAGCCCAAGCTAGTCAAGGCTACTAATCAACCAGTTAAAATCACAGAGCTGAGTTGGTTAACTTGCTCTTAACACTTATTAGAGAAATGTTGTGCCAGGGCAAAAAAAAAATCTGGCCAGGAAGAGATAACTTAGCTGGATACTCAAAAAACTGGACAGTATTTGATTTTAAGGCTAAAAGGTCCTCCTACAGTATGGAGGACAAGAGGACAAAAAGAGGAGATGTTCTTTTGGCGGACATCTGGTACCCTTATGCTTCCATCCCACTAGGATGATGTAAAAGACGGTCTCTGAGGAACTGATACATACGCATACCTTGTTCCATTAGCTCCACTCCATTGATTCCTTGCTATCCAAATTTCTCTCTCTTCCCTTCCCCATTTATCTCTGCCTCCCCCCACCCCCATGAACTAGATAATGGTAGATATCAGAGCATCTGGTCCCCTTTCTTAAAACCTTTAACATACAGAATAGATGAAAAAAGAAACCACAATGAATCAAACAATGTTTTGGTTCCAATGTTTTGCATTCAAAATGAAATTCAACGTAGAGAAAAGTAAGTTTTACACTTAGGCAAGAAAAATCAAATGTGCAGTTACAAATTAGGTTTAAATCTGGCTCAATAGCAGTAACTGTGAAAGGGATCTTGGAGTCCTAGTGGACAATCACTTAAAGATCAGCTAGCAATGTGCGGCAGCAGCCAAAAAGTCAATGCAATCCTAGGTTGCATTAACAGAGAGATAGAATCAAGATCAAATGAAGTATTAGTACCACTTTATAAAGCCTTAGTAAGACCATACTTAGAACACTGCATCCAGTTTTGGTCACCATATTATAAAAAAAGATGTAGAGACTCTGGAAAAAGGTCAGAACAATAAAGATGATTAAGGGGCTGGAGGCTAAAATATGAAAAATGGTTGCAGGAATCGGGTTTGTCTAATCCAGTGAAAAGAAGGACTAGGGTGACATGACATGTTCCAATATTTGAGGGGCTGCCACAAAGAAGAGTGGAGTCTTTTGCCAAAGCACCAGAAGGCAAGACAAGAAACAATAGATGGAAACTAATCAAGGAGAAAAGCAATCTAGAACTAAGGAGAAATTTCCTAACAGTAAGAACTATTAACCAGTGGAGCAGCTTGCCTTCAGAAGTTGTAGGTGCTTCATCAGTGGAGGTTTTTAAGAAAAGACTGGATAGCTACTTGTCTGGAATGGGTCTCCTCTTGTGCAGGGAGGGTCTCCTCTTGTGCAGGGAGTTGGGCCTCCAAGGTCCCTTCCAATTCTATTATTCTGTTATTCTGCCACATCACAGTTTTGGGCTGCCCCAATTCCTTTTGCAATAAATGATTTGAAAAGTTGATTGCAATCAGTTGTTCTAAAGTATTAATCCTCTCACTTTCCAACAAATTACCAACCTGTTCATTTGCATGAACAACCTGTTTCTATAATTATCATGATGTGTCCTTCCTTGAGTCTATTTCTTCTTACTATCTCTGTCTGCTGCCGGCTGGACTTTTTGTGTCCTTGGGCATCCGTGGACATTGCTGCCTTGCATTAGGATAGCAGGAGACCAAGTGGGCCCCAAAGGACCGAGCATACCTTTGCATCTTTCACTTAAGTAATTTGAAAGTCTAATTTCCACATCTTGGCTACAGCGTATCTGGAATTTGAATTCTGGTTTCATTCATTGTCAGAGCAATTCTGCATCATCCATACAAAATATTTATATTCAGAGGTGTAACCGGAATACGATCGGAATAGTTATTATCAAATTCCACATTTCTTCTTGAAGGCCATTTGTGTTGAACTACAAGACGTCTTGGGAAAATTATCACCATACATTCCAGTTCTGTAACCGAATTTGCATGAGTCGTTCTGGTTCCCTATTGTCCTCCAAGGGCAATGCCCATAGAGACTACAGTAGAATTACTTGGAAAAACACCATGTTGTTTTTTCATTCTGATGTGAACTGATTTTATCCATATCTCCCAGGCAATTGGGAATTATCTATTGGCTTTTCTACTTCCCTGATGTGGCAACCACTGCTTTTAGCCTCCCAAACATGCATTTAGAAATACATTTTGATTTTAAAAACTCCATTTTAAAACGTGCGTAACATTTCAAGTACAATAGATTTCAAGCCCATTCATAGAGAAATGCAGCAATCTTATAACTAGAGTTATAAATGAATACAGTGGGGAAAGAGGGAGCAGATTCTGGCACCCAAATCAGCTGTTTTGAACTTCCTTGACAATTATTTTACCTTGTGTGCATATTTCCTGTTAAGATTTCTGAGATACGGCTATGAAATATTTGGCCTTACAGAAGAAGCAGCAAGTCATTGAAAAGGGAATGCTTCCTTTAAAAAGTCCAGTCTATTCAAGTTTTCTTTTATTCCCTCCGAAAGTAGAAATCATTACTCTAACTTCAGGAACCATCTGTTCTGTAGCTCTTTAAAGCTCTTAGAGCCAATTCCCTTAAGGTGGTTAGACATACTGCTGGTCCTTTTTGAGGTAATTAAATCTAGTGGAAGACCTGGCTTCCCATGGTGAAGGGCACCTCCATTGTAGCAAGCACCCCTGGTGACATTCTCCATTGCAAAGATGGGTCAAATTGACACATACTGCATTCTGGTATCGTAGCACTCCTAAACAGTTAGGTTTATAGGGGACTTTCATGCAAAGTGCTGGATAATTCTGCATACATTCTGTGATTATGATTTCTCCTTTTTTTTAAAAAAAAAAATGTCCCTTAAAGTTTCAAACTCTGCTCAAACTGAAACAGGCTGGCAAGCTCTGAAAGAAGGACTATTTATAAAGGGAGGTCATCCACAGTTCCACTTTCAAATGCATTATTGATTTTAAAGCCTCTCCAAATGTTTCCTGATTGCCAGCACACTTTTCACAAACTGCAGGGGGATCCCAAATCAAATCTCCATTGCACTTTTATTTGGCTGAAGCAAACATCCAGACTAGTCAGGCTTCCAAGACACTAAATGGATCTGTATCTGCCAGGAATCAATAGTTGCATTTGGGTGTAATGTATGTCAGTGTAGCATTAGGAACCATTACTATTTCCTCAAGAAATTATTCCAATGCAACATGCAGCTAACTAGTTCAACAAAACCTTCTATAGATCATTTGGAATCCTACTGGCAGTATCCATGGGAAAAAATATACAGAAAAATCTTGTTTTACGGCAGCATCAGGAATCCAATTTAAGCAAAATGCTGGAGACAGGCCAGAAGAATTTATAACTCAAGGTGTAAGCTTCCTCCATAGCTAAAACTCTCCATCTTCTCCACCCCTATTAATAATTGGTAGCTTTAGTGATCTCTAAGAGGCTATTCTAAATTTATATTGTAAACTGTATAGGAAAATCTTCGCAATACTTTAATGATCTGGAAAAGAGTCACAAAAGATTAAATAGTCTTTGATTTGTTCCATTCGAGTTCTAAGTGCAATAATGAATAATTATACTTAATGTATTTTAGTGAAAAAGAAATTTAGTGAATTTTCTTTCAATTGAGATTGACTCCTGGGGACATAATATGTGAGTGTTTTTCGGCATGTGTTTTGTTTTTCAGAAACAGAATATGGATTTCTGGCCACTGCTTTCTTATTTAGCCTATCATCCTAGGACTCCTTAGGGATCCATCAGTTCATAATGGATGAGAAAGGAAGTTTGCAACATAAATCCCTCATAAGAGGGCTTTTAAGCCAAGTTTTTGCCGTACATCTATGAACTGCTCACAAATAAAAAATATTACTCCATAATCTTCTTTTACATCGAAACACACATCTAAACATAATTGACTTAGATATACTGTATGTTCAAGCCTCCCATTGAAATCCATAAGCTTGGAATTATAAATTAACTTCCTAATTCAATATTTTATTATTTATCGATTGGTTTAAAATATTTATACCCCGTTGGGTTTCTCATGGCTGGATAAAATAACCCTTAATTGATCTTATATATTAGCTACTACCTGTCTGGACCAAAAGCACAGCCATCCCCAGATCAAATGGCCTTTTGAAAGTGAGAGTGATAGGAAATTCCCTGCAATTTTTATTAATGGCATAGAATATTTTAAAAACTATGAAATGGTCATTGGCTTTAACCACTTATATAATTATTTCCACCATTACCCACAAAAGCTGGGGAAATGATTAGCCGACACCAATTCTGTTTACCGCTCTTAGCTTTTAATTTTCACCATTCTCATAAATTAGACAAAACACTGCCATATTTATGATCCTTAGCTTTAAGTAAGCTTCCAAAACTAAATTAGATCTCTGAATTTAAGAAGACATGAAAATAATTCCAAATGGCCAGAGGGTGGGGGTAGGAGGTTGTTTTCAGTATTATTTTTTCCCCCTGAAGTCTAAATCAGGAGTAAAAACTGACAGGCAGCCTTTAATTGGAGTTCTCTAATCATTGGCATCATCTAATAATGACCTCTCAGGAAGAAGAATCAGGTACTTCATTACATCTCTGGCTGTTTATGGCAGGGGACTTTCATTACATCAGAATTAATTCTTGTTTTAATAACAGCACTATTTTTTACCCTGTTTATGGTTCATCTGTCAATGGAACCCCATGTTGATCCCCACCTATAAATCTTTGTACTAACAAGACCTCACCAGTTCTAACAGAACATAAATGGGAAGGTAATCCTTAATTTTAGAACAGCTGGGACTTGGGATATTTTCTGGAGCCATTTTCCAGAGTCCATTGGTCCAGTTTCCTAGATGAACAGCATCACAACAGCAATAGCGCCACGATGGCACAGTGGTTAGAGTGCAGTACTGCAGGCCACTTCTGTTGATCACCGGCTGCCAGCAGTTTGGCAGATCGAATCTCACCAGGCTCAAGGTTGACTCAGCCTTCCATCCTTCCGAGGTCAGTAAAATGAGGTCCCAGATTGTTGGGGGTAATATGCTGACTCTGTAAAACCGCTTAGAGAGTGCTGTAAAGCGATGTGAAGCAGTATATAAGTCTAAGTGCTATTGCTAGTGCTATCACAGGAATTTTCTGGATTCTAAATCCAGGGTGTAGAGGTTCGAATTCAAGGAAAGATGGGCTATAAAGTTGTCAGCCAAATGACTTTTCATGGAGAGTTGAATCTTCTGCTAATGACTATGGATTATTTTTCTAGTACAACCTTGTGTATAATTACAACATATGCAAAGACTGCTTAATAGGCAGAGAAATTAGGAACAGCATCCTATGTTAAATGTTGCTGATTGTTTTTTCCAGGAACAGTATATAGCAAATTCAAAGCATGTTTGCCATCTAAGAGTTTTGTACTTTGTAGTGCTATTGATTATGGTTCTTGCAATTTATGGTTCGTACATTACATGGAAAAACATATTCTGAGAAAATTATATTATTCTAGATATTGTCCTTTGAGAACAAGTTAAAATAGCAGCTTTTTTTGTAAATTGAGGAAATACCACATTGATGTTTACATAGTATTGCTCTAAGTTACTGTTTTTAATTTTGTAATTGCTGTATTATTATACTGTGGGTGTTTTATTTTTATATGTTTTATAACTATGTACACTGCCAAGAGTTGCTTAATTGTGGCAATTTAGAAATCTGCTAAATATATAATCATATATTGATTCTAATATTAGTGATGTTTGAAATTACATATGCTTATTCAAAAATGTTAGTACATCCTCTTCCTCCTTAAAAACTATGTCGCAACATGCTGAAAATATCCTTGGATATAAAATAACCCAATAAAATCTGTCAAGGAAAAGGTTATTCTTCATTGTGCAAAGAAACTAGCTCTTAACCTAGAATTTGAATATATTCTACTTTCAAGCTGGCTACATATGGAAACTGGCCATCTGGGATCCAGCTAAATGCCAAACAACCCTCAAACCATTGGTTAATTAGGAGCTATAGATTTGATGACCTAACAACCTTTACTTTTCTTAAAGTGCTATCTGTTGCAGCAATTAAAACAATGTTTCCTAAGAATCAGAGAAAGGGTCAATTTTCCAAGGTCATTTCTGCCAGTCTCTGACATTGCAATGTGCTAAATGTTATTCACTTTTCAGATCTCATAAGAAAAGTCAATACAAGATGAGAATGTTCTACTCCTAGGCATTTTCAGACTCACAATTTTCCACTGAATCCTACCTTAACTGCCAGCTTCATTGTTGTTCCGAATAACACAAATATAGTGATATGAAATTTCCAATCTGTGAGCAATAGTTTTATTATATAGAGTTACAATACAAATAATAGCATCGGCTTCAGCCGAGTCGTTTATGCCATAAGTTCCAATTCCTTATGTTGCATTCATTCCCAACAATGGCACTGCATTCCATCTAAGGCAGCTGCTTTCTATGTATATTATACAAGTATGGCATTGAAGAGAGAAACTGCCCCTTTAGTTTGAGAGTTATACAGAATGAGAGCACATTCTACATCAGAACAGAGCCATCAGCATAGCTATTTGCAGCCTCTGGATGCTACACTTGAGACTTTTTATGAGCTCCTTTGCTAGCTGGATTTTTTTTTTTTTTCAGTTTTAAGAGGTGCGTGTGTATGGCTTACCTAATTCAAAGCATACCATTTTAAGCCAGCAAATAAAATTCTGCTTCCTCTAAATCATTCCACTGCTATATATTAACAGTCATTCGAAATAACATAGGCCTGGCAAAATTCAAAAGTTAATTTTCTGTTGTGGGAATGCAACTTAATCTAAAACACACAGCTCTTTTCTTCTATTTATTTATTTTTTGCTTCGCTGTTTTCTAGATTGTTATTAAGACTTACAAATTCATTTCCTTTTATTAAACTGAAGGCTGATGGAGTATATGAAATGTTCATCTGACAGTATCTGGAATAGAGAACATCAGTGTATATCAAGTCCAGTTCTCTTTATCATGATATATAACATAATATCACTATATAACTATGTTATATAACATCACTATATAGCAAGTCAAGTTACATCAAGTTCATTACCTAGTTGGGTAATGAAATGACTGCAAATAAACAACCACGTTCAGAGAGGACCAAGGACTCCATAATCAAGTTATCTTATTCAATCTTGTGTATCCTAATAGGCAGTAGTCTTTTTCCTTGACCTGCTTCCTGATCCTTTTAGGTTGCCAGAGGAAATCTTAGAACCTTTCTATATGACCAAAGGATTCCCAGGATTGGAAGGTTCTGTCATCCTTAGTTCTGAGTGTGATGACACTACCCCATAAAGACCCGGTAGGCAAACTTGAAGTTCTCCTAGACTCGCAACTCCTGTTTGAAGAGCAGGTGGCAATCATGTTAGGAGAGCCTTTGTACAACTTCAAGTTTCTGGTTCATGAAGTCATGCATTCGGACCCTCATGGTCTGGTCATCTCTCATTTGGATTATTGGAATGCATTCTACATAGGGTTACTCTTGAAGGGTATTTGGAAGTTATAATTGATCCAGAATGCAGCATGGACAGTTTTGGAGGCCCCTAGAATGGTGCATATAACATCACTGTTTTGTGAGCTGTTGTTCTGACCTAGGCTTCCTTAAAAAGCATGAAGCAGAGTCTTGGTCCCAGCAAAACCCCTTTTATTTTACACGACTGAGAATTCCTTTCATTCACAGTCAGCAAGGCTTGGCAAACAGTCTTTCAGATGAATATTTATCAACACAAACCTTATCTCACTTGGAAAGCTGCCAGATAACTAGTTTCCAAATGCAGTATAAGGCAAAACTTGGCACAGAGTCTCTTAGAGTCATGAACAAAACTTTCCACTCTTGAACCGACCACTGAACAAATTGTTTCCTGCAAAAGTCCACTCCCCATTCGCTTCTCTTTTGTTTCCTATGGAAGGGGCAAATCACCTCCAAGGTGTGGCTTTACTCCCAAGTCGACCCTGCTTTCTTAGTTGTTCTTGTCTTCTGGCAGCTCTGTGCATGCACACACTGGGAACAGGCTCCAGCTGTTCCTCTGCCTCACTGCTGTCTAGTTCCCTCTCTGCCTCCGATGCAGAGCCCTCGCCTGAGCTTTCTCTAGCCCCCAGGACTGGTCTATGTTCCTCCCCAACCTCCTCACTGTCTGACTCTGCTGCCAGCTCTGCTGGCCGCCAGCAGGCCACAACAGCTGTACTGGCTCTCAATGTGGTCTGAATCCAATTTAAGGTGTTAGTCATTACCTTTAAAGCCCTCCATGTATGAATCCAGGATATCTGAGGAGCTATCTTTTCCTAGTGGGATTGGCCAGCCCCACTTGTGCTGGTAGAAGAAACTTTCTGCAGCTGCCATCAGTCAAGGAATTGAGGCTGATGGGGTCCAGCAGAAGAGCCTTTTCTGCCACAGCCTCCATCCTATGAAACATCTTGCCTGAAGGCCAGAAGTGTGAGATCAGCCCTCACTCTTCTGGCCTTCAAGAAATGCCTTAAAACCTGGCTATGCCAGTTGGTCTGGGGCCCTGAAGGAGAAATGGTTGGCTGGAGGTGGCTAGTATAGTAACAGAGAAGTTGCCACCATTTTTCTTCTCGAAACCCATGTTTCTTAAATTGTTGTAATATTTTGTAGTTTTAATCTTTTTATATTTATAATTGTTTTATGTCCATATGTTTTAGTATACCATAAATTGCTCAACGTCACTTTGAACCACAAGATGAATGGCATATAAATTTAATTAATAAATAACTGGTAGGCATTATTGCTTTCTTCAATGTATCCCCACCGCCCAATCTTGCCCGTTCTTATTAAACATGGACAAGTATGGCTATCCATAGACAGCCCTTGCTACTAG